GGTGAAGAATGGGATGATACAGCGCAATCAAAGGAGCAAATTGAAGCAAGACAGTCCAAAAGGCAAGAAGCTGCGGTTCGAAGGGAGAGAGCTCTGGCCTACGCATTTTCACGTCAGGTACCCGGGTGTCCCCTTCTTTTGTTATTGCATTTGGGATTATAGTGAAACAGAGGAACTAAAATACATAATCAAACAAAATGGTTAGGTTTTGAGTTTCAGAACAAAAATTCAAATGAGAGAATGACCTTTTTCAGAATGATTTTACAAATACGCAAATAAAGAAATTGATATAGTACAACAGTGTTCTAAGCAACTTGAGTTTCACTGGAAGTATAATATTAATTTGCATCATTATCTCATGAAATTACTTGTGATGGCTGGGTTTTACTTTGATGCTTGTTAATATGTAGGAAATAGTCATTGGACTATACAAATATAATTGTTGGTGTCTGATCAAAATTTTTTTTTTTTTTTTACCATCATGACCTGGATGGTTTGAAGGTCCTGTAGTGTTCCTGATTTCATTAATCAAACACAAATTTCTTGCACACATTTATCAAAGACATTACCTGTGACCGTGATTCTGTTTCTTAATCGGAAACCTCAAAACTTATGAAAATGCCTGTATACACCTTCAAGTAATACTATTGGTCTGTGTGTGTGTGTGTTTTTTTTCCCCCCATGTTGATAGGTTCAAGATTACTTTTTTAACTCTATTAACGATTTCAATCTAAATATTTGCTTAACAGCAAAAGTGGAGGAACTCTTCAAAACCTGCAAATCCGACCACATTCACGGATCCAATCAACCCACACTGGGGTTGGAGCTGGCTAGATCGATGGGTTGTAACACAGCCAGGGGATATCCAAAGAGGTATGGTTCACAGTGGGCGTGCATCTGCAAAGAGCATGGCAAGCCAACCCTTGTCTGTTGGAGAAGTCACTAAACTGTACACTTCTCGCGGTCAAATCCATCACAGTAACAACAAGCCTTCTCCGGCTGGCCAACAAAAATCAAGCCGGCCCCCGAGTCATAGGTCGTCTTCAATCCCACTTCAGAAGGCCCCCTCTGTCTCATCTACTTCCAGCAGCAAAGTAAGGGCGCCAAGCCCAAAGACCGGTTCTTGGGGCCGTGATGATGACTTGAGGAGTGCAGTTAGTGCTCAGTCACAACGGTACCGAAGACATACTATTTCAGGTTCATCGTTCAGAGACGACGAAAGCTTTGCAAGTTCATCTGCCCTCTCTACTTGCACGGTTCCTACTAAGTCAGCTAAGGTCAAGTCCAGAATTGAGAGTCCATCAGGTAAAAATGGGACACCAGAGAAAGGATCCAATACGAAGAAGAGACTTTCCTTCACAGATTCCCCTGCTCGTTTGAGGAACCATTCTGGCCCTCTTAAGGTGGATCTTTTGGCTTCCAATAAGGATGCTGCTTCAGTCACTAAGAAGAAAGTTGCCAATAATGGTGGCAGGTAGTGCTGGGAAGTGAAGAAGAATGCCACTGGTATATAACAAGAGCTTGGTAGGATTGTGAGTGAAGAAGATATAAAAGAAGAAGATGGGGATGTACAGGGCTTGATGGTTGCTTGTGTGATCATATTCTTGAAGAGCAAGATAGGGTAATAATGGATGATTATTTTGTTCATAAAGCTGTATTCATAGTCATATTCAACATCTTTTTTATTTTCTTCTTCAGTTTGATTACGTAATGTAAACAGGATTGGTTTGGGGGTGATAATAATTTAATGATAGATTTATTTTTTGTTCTAATTATTCTTGGCAGGATCATTGTAGAAGCATTTGTTCTTTGTATCAATTTAGGGTGTTTGGATAAAACCAAATCATAGTTTGGAGAATAGCTTTTGGGAGAAAAGTAATTTTTGATAATAGATTTTGAAAGAATAGATTTCTTGAAAAATGATTCTGGTAAAATGAGAATATTTGGATAGTTATTGTCAAAAGTATTTTTTTATGTATAAAAATTACTAAAAATGACATAAATTTAAATAATAATTACATAGAAGATATATTTTATAATATATGTTTATTTGAAGTAATAAATTTGTTAATAATATATATTTTGCCAACATAATAAATAAGACATAAATAATGTAAATAATAAATAATTAATGTGCATATATATATTTATAAAATAATTAAATATGTTTTTAGGAAAATAATTTATTTTGCCAATAAAAAAATTATTACTTCTTAAAGATTTTAAACACGAAATCCCATAATTTTTTTTTCACAAAATTAAATAACCACACAAAAAATTCCATATTAATTGTCTTAATAATAGACGTTGCAACAAAATATATTTGTCCAAGTAGTTTTTTATTAAACAACATATTACATTATCTGAAAAAAAAAAGAAATAAAAAGGGCATGATTATTCTTTTATATAGTGAATAATTTGATTTCTTATGGAGTCACGAAGCCAAGTCATGTGAGATGAAGATTCTATTGATGAAGGTATATGTGAAGATCAAACTCCATCATCATTATTATTTTCTTTTGCATAAGAACCTTCTTGTTCAAATTGAATAAAACCAGGATCAGAAATGGATGTTGATCTAATGAAGTTATATATGGCCATCATTGCACAAACAATTTGAACTTGTGTTGGAAAGTCATAGCTCGGCATGTTTCTTAAAATTGCAAACTTATTCTTCCAAACTCTAAAAGTTCTTTCAATAGTGCTGCGTGGACTTGAGTGCAAATAATTGAACTCCTCATTGTCATTTTCAAGTGTAGATGACCTTCGAAAATCAGGGAGATAGTAGCGCTCACGTTTGTAGGGACCAAGATATCTCATGGGTGTCGGATAGCTAATATCCACCAAATAATATTTACCTACATGAAATATATGATTGGTGTCAAGAAACTTTGTTTTCTAATAGTTAAGTATAAATAAATTGTAACAATTTAAATTATATCTTAAGGCGGATGGAGAAAGTTCATGGAAGGAGTTGTGAGGGCTAGGGGTGGAAACAGGCCAGGCTAGGCCAGGCCTCACCCTTAACAGGCCTGGCCTATGGTGAAGCTTGTTGGCCTGAGCCTGGCCTGTGGCCTGTGAAAGGCCTTTTAATCTGCCTGAGCCTGGCCTGTAATCAGGCCTGGCCTGGCCTGTGACCTGTTAAGAGGCTTGTTTTTTTATCAAATTTTAAACACACATAAATCAATTCAAAATTACAATAATTCAACCTAATTAATCTAAAATACAAACAAAAAATATGAAATTATCAAATTAACACAATTTGTAAAACATGTCCCCTTAGGCCCAAAAAAAAAATCTAATATGAAAAATTATTATAAAACATAATTTCACTCTAATATAAAAATATCACTTCATCCCATCTCTAGTATAAAAATTAGTTGATGACTAGATCTAGTTTAAAATATGAAACATCCTTAATCCCTTTTATATTTTAAATTTATCATTTATTCAAACTAATTTACTAACAAAATGATATTTGATCCTCTTGTTACACATGGTTGTTTTTTAAAAAAAAATGTTACAATTATTATAATTTATTTATTTATTTAAATTAATTAAGTAACTATTATAATAAGAATTAGATTGAGCACACATATATGTGGTCTAAAACATAATAGGTCAATTCTATATATATATATATATATATATATATTCTATATAAGATTAATATGAAAAGCATGGATCAAATAAATGAATGATACTTTTATTTTTTTTAATGCACTTATGTTTTCTTTCTTTGTTTAAATATGTGTCATTATACATACATTAATTATTTTTATTATAGAGAATGGAAATGAAATGAAGCATGCAATGGGCTCTAGATAACATGTTTATGTGGATGGAGTTTTCTCAATTAACTAATCAGAATAGCAGATTCCCTCTCATCAATTTACAATTTTAACCTAAAAAAAAAAAGATAACAGGCCCAGGCCGCCTGACAGGCCTAACAGGCTTACTATCAGGCCTGAGCTTGGCCTGATAAAGTAAACAGGCCTTTTTACAGGCCTGAGCCTGGTCTGATATCTAAACAGACCAGGCCAGGCCAGGCCGCCTGGCCTATTTCCACCCCTAGTGAGGGCGTAGTCAAATATACGAGCATCATAAGCTCTACCTTCCCATCCTTCCAATACAAAAGTGAAGCACATGTCCCAGTTGCAAACCACCATTATCTTTTGCGTCATTGTTCCTTTTCTGTTAATATATTTTGTTTGCTCTGTTGCATTAACAATGCATGAAACATGCATTCCATTAATTGTTCCAATAGCATGTTTGAAAAAGGGCTAGTATTGACCACTGGGCCGTATTTTTGTATAAAAATACTGGAATGTTAGATCTTTTGGTTTGATATTGGACATAGCAAGTCTACAGCATGCTAGTAAGACATTATGAAAATGTCTACTAATTGCCTCACCTGAATGCTAAAATCTTTCTTGCTGTATCCTACTACTAAGCACATGGCCAACGGTATTTAAAAACATTGCAACTATTTTATGTATCCCAACATTTCTAGTTTTTCTTAGACCGTGTTGTTGCAATTCTGTTCAAAGACTGAGGAACACTTTCCTTTCCATCTTAAACATATTATAACAATGGGTAGGATGGCCTTGTAAAACGTCCCTTACCCATGCCCTGCTTGTATAAATACTTGTATGCCGAGACTCTTTATACAAATGAAGAGAAGCATATCCACCAACCACTGTTGCAACTTGATTAACTCATTTATTCCGTCGTTTACGATACTCTTTCACAATTTTAATTTCATCAGCTATTTTTTGTCTTATCCTGTGCACATAGACATAAAATTCAAAACCCTTGATATGAAATTACTAGACATTTAACAAAGAAATAAGTTGTCTAATTCCTACAGAAATTTAATAGTCACATAATACAATAGTACTGGTTACATCATTCCCAAAAATATATGCAAATTATCACAGTCATCTTCTAAGAAACACAAATAGTAGTCAAATACTATGATAAGCAACACAAATGAAGTCTCAATCCTTAGTTGCGTGCTTCAAGAAGATCAGAAGTTTCTTCCTCTTATTCTTCAGAGCCACATACATTTCTTTTGCAACTGGCTCCTTCATAAGGAGTGTTGTGCACCAGCCAAACAAATCAGGATCATCAACAACTTCATCAACTTCATTAAGGTGCTCCATGACTCCCGCAATTGACTTCTCATAAGCACGTGCTTCTTCTTCTAGCCTCCTAGCACATGCTTCTGAAATTTCTTCATGTTCACGCTGAGCATCAATTTCATTCACTTGAGATATCCTGCTTAGTGCATCCGCTATTTTCATAGTGGAAGTGGGTTTCTTCTTTATAGATTCATTCTTTTTTCTAACCTGTAATAAGCTAATGGGTCGAACCCCACCTGTGCTTCTACCTCCATGAATGGTTTTCTGTCTCATCATAGTGTTGCCTCTACTTCCTCCACTATTATCAACGAATGTGACTGAATTAAACTCCCCGCTTATGCTCATTGATGCCCCTAAAACTTCATCACTATCTCCACACCCTTGTTCCATATCATCTTTAGGTACTCCTTCACTTGGAAGTGTCATGGAAGAAGGTGCTCATGACTATGGTCCAGTTGCAACTACAGTCCCAAAGAGTTGAGTCAATTAAGCTCGAAATTGAAGCCTTTTTCTCTAAATTTCTCATAGCCTAGAACTTTCTGCACATTTAACACCAAAAATATTATACATTATACAAAAAAGGTTAACATGGGAGAAAATGCAAGCTCAAATAAAGTTAAATGATTACCACTAATTTCTTCTCCCATCAATCATCAGGGGCACTAACAGTATTCTTTTTGGCATCCCATCCCAAACTTGTCTCATGAAACAGCCTATCCCATGATTGCTACTCCTTTCACAGGGCATCAAATTTTTTTTTAAATTGGATTTTCGTATAGACTCTCCGAGTCTTTGTAGTGAAGTTGTCCCCAAGACTTACCCAAGCAGGCTTTGTCAAGCTGGCTCCTTTTCTTCTCCGCTTTTTCAATTTCTTCAATGCACAAGTTAATAAAAACCTTTGTGGTTCTTATATCTCACGAAGCTTTGACCTTATCTTTACTTATTATGCGATAGACTAATTACAACACTTCAGTCATCACAAGTTTAACCCAAAAAGCATGCCATTCAGTTCAGGAGATATGATATAACAGGTATAGTATTTAACAAGTATAGCCGCACGTTCTATGCCATTCATGTCAAGTTAAATGAAATATAACATTTAGGTCAAAATAACAGATCCTTTGTCTCCAATAAACCACAAATAATGACTTTCTTTTTTCCAGCAAAATGAGGTCTCATTAATAATGCAACAAGAAAGGCATGTTTAATATCAAAAGAATAACACAAAAGCATAACTTAATATACAAAGTAAAGAGACTAGCCAAGAGTTTCAATTAACCATTTCTAAGACATTAGAGAAAGAATAAAATAACCTAGTAATTAAATGTGCTAGACGGATAAATAAATCTCCATAAATTCCATTTGCTACAAGGTTCATAATAGCACTTCATAAACTAGCCAAGAACCGGCCAAGACAAGTTCCGGAAAGACTTTAAATGACACCATACTTCATTCCAAAAAGTCCACAAAAGATACTTCTCAAATAAAATGAAAGATTTTTTATTCTCAATTACAAACTCAAAACACTACACGTAAAACAGATATCTCTCCAAGGATATCCAAATTCACAATGAGAATATTTCAAGACAGAAATCAATCTAATTGACTACTTGTTCCATTAAAAATCCATGATCATTATTCCAAATGAAGATAGGAAATCTTCACTGTATTTAGACCACATTCTCCCAGCTAATTCCTTGAATAAATAAGATTCCTTCCAGTATGGCTCCTAACCATGCAAGTGATTTGTAACTGAATTTAACTCTCCACAACCTTCCTGAAAACCTCAAAAGCCTCAATATGCATACTCATATATCAAATTTGCCCATTGATTTGTCAAAAGATAAATTTTCCACCTCAAAAATCTAGGCTTCCAGTTGTCCTACCACCTTTTGATCATCAATGATAAGCTAGATCAATCACATGGATAGAGTACATTCAACAAAGCAACCCCAAATAGGCAAATACAATCCCTTATCACTTCATGCCTAAGCAAGAGAAGGTCTAGCCCTTAATACAAGAACCTATTATATCTTTCTCCAGGACCTAAATAAACAGCCTAACCTACACAGTATACCATGTGTTGATCTCAGAAAAAAACAAATAGAAACTAAAAAGGTTTAATGGAGAAAGAGTAGGGTGAAGATAGAAAAAGAAATATTGAACTTCATAATTATACGCAGGTAGCAATCCACGAGCTCATAAATGGAGAAGCCCCTCAGAATGAAAAAGAGTATTCAAGTGTTCTGTCTCTAAAAGCACAACCACGAAACATCCATAAGATAAAAAAAATAAGAACAATTTGAGCAGCACAAGCACCCACGAGCCTACCTAAAATGCTGGATCTAACTGACGGAACCAAACACGGTGACCTGAGCAACCGACGACCGGACGAACTGAAAACCAAAGATATCAGAAATCTGTGGATGGATCGGGCAACCCAATGTGTGATCTTCTTTTGGCAAGTCAAGTAACCTCACCAGCATCGAAATTCGCAAGCTCAACTATCTCACCAGTGGCAAGAAGATCTATTGAGTTTCAGAAGGGGCGACAGTAAAGGAATGATATGCTAATGTGTTCTTGGTGAAAATCCACTGTTGGCAGAGTGTGTTCTTGGTTTTTCACTATTGGGAGCCCAGAAACACCTCACCAGCACTGAAATTCCTAAGGGGTAAACGATCTCACTGGTGGCAACAAATTTTTAGAATTTCAGAGGGGGCGACGACACTGGAAGAACGGGCAAAATGGGAGAAGAGGCAGAGTAATTTTCATGCATTTTCACCATTGGAGCCTTTGACAGGAGTAATTATTACTCCAACGACCATATTTTCATTCTTCAAAAGCAAGAATTTTCAGCTTATTCGAAAACCATGATTTAGCTGGCCAAAACCAAGGGTGCTGAAACCATGGTTAAAAAAAAAAGGGTGTTTGGCAATCAGCCTCCCCAAACCATGGTTTGGGAGTCGAAGCACTTTTGGAGCAATTGCCAAACACCGCCTAATCTTGCTCTTGTTGGAAATCAAAAATGATTTTTTTTCCCAAGCTTTTGCAAAAAAGAAAATTTGTGTAGTTGGTAGATTTTTTTTTACTCTGGATTTGATTTTAACAGTTTATATTTTTATTATTTCTCTTTGAAATACTAAATCGTATTTTAATATAAGAGCTAGTTGACTAATTTGAATGGATTAAGAAAATTATTTTAGTTTGTTATTTATAATAAATAGGTGTTGTTTTTCCTAAAATATCCTTGTTAATCAACTGTATTGGCTAGGATTACTATTATTACAAGGACTCATTTGAGAAAAAAATAAAGAAATATGAGAGATAAAATGAATCGAGGTTTTATATTTAAAACCAAAATAAAAGTTAAATGAGTTCTTATATTAAAGACTGGAGGTTGTATTATTTTTTGCGTAATTTGAAAATTGAAATTTAGATATTGATAGAGTAAAAAAATTGTAATTAACAATTTATTTTAAAAATATGTTTAACATTTTATTTCAAGATACGATGTGTTTTGTGCTTTCTATCATTTATTGTGATAATAAAAATATAGAGAGCAACTTTTTACTTTATTTCATATCATGAAAAATAAAAAATAAATTTCCAGTAAAAAAAAAAAGAAAAATATATATAAGTTGCAAGAACGCTAACCGTGATACCGCAACCTGCAACTGTAATTGGTTGCTCGAATTTGAATAAACTTGAGAACTTGTCTCGGGTCTCACACTTCAAAGTGTTAGAAGCATCCAGAAGTGCTGAATGCAATCCCGTAGATTGTTACCAGTCCTTAAGGTTCTGTAACGATGGTGAGCTAATTATCAAGCTCTTCGCTTCCCGAATCGTGCCGATTTTTCCTTTTCATTTGAAAATTGGAGTTAAAATTTCTATTATCCGTACCCAGTCATTACCAATTTTAAATTGTAAGATTTTTCCAGCTACATTGCGCACTGAGTTTGAAGTTTTGATCAAAACATGAATTTAGAGCTTTGCCAATTTTTGGTGACGTTTATTCTGTTTCAATTCATCGCCCATGTTGAATTGAATCCGTTGTGGTCTTGTTTTGCCCAAATTTATCTTTCAAACTTTCGTGAATGTTGGTTTATCTTAGCAAACTGACTCTTGTATTATGCAATCAATCCCCTCTTTCTAACGATCGGGGATCGAGTTGCTTCTAGACAGTGCTGTGATCTAATCGTCTGTTTTATTTATATTGAAATGAATATGTCGAAGTATCCTTAGTCTGTAAAACCTGGTTTTCTATAGATAGATTAATCATAAAGTGGCTGGCAAGGGGAAAAAAAAAAAGATTAATCATAAAGTGGCAGAGAAAACAAGGGGGCCGCCCAAGGTTAGTCTGTAAAATCTGTTTCTAATCCCACTTTGTCCAATTTCTTATTTAGTCAGCAGCAGAAGCATTTCTTACAAGTTCTGAATGGAAGCTGTATTGTTAAGCACCAGGTGTTTGTTTCTGTATTCGTAATATTTACTTTTGTCACTTTACCCTCGTTGCCGGCATTTTTGTTCGGTATCAACACTAGTGTACCCCGAATTCTTAGAAATTTATGTGTGAAATTAATGGACTACATGCAGTTATGGTATCAGCACCATCACCATCTGGAATCAATGTATAAATTCTGTCAACCAGTGAACTGATTGCTCATATTTCCCCAGCCTCAGTCTATAAAATAGAGGTGAACTTGATGTCAAGGGCTTTGGTTTTGATTGCTGCCCCTTTCCCAGTTCATTATTTCCAAGGCCTTCATCCCTCCCTTGTAACAAAAAATCATATTGCCCTCCCAGTGGAACCTCATTTGTTGTTGGAAAACTCATTCTGAGTACATAACAATTAACTGTGACAAAACCATTTATGTCTTGTCATATGCGTAGTCTGTCATCTAAATAAGTTGAGTGATTGCGAGTTAATGGGCTGGACTGGTATCTGTGATCTAATGAAGTGTTAACGTTGTAATTATTATTGTCAACTTAAATTTCGTTGGTAGTTTACTTATCCGGTGCCAAATTACAATGTATATTAGGCTACTCCATTTCTAGCTGGCCTTGCTGTAGCTGCTGCAGCTCTTGCTGGTAGGTATGGCATTCAAGCTTGGCAAGCTTTCAAGGCGCGGCCCCCAAAACCCAGAGCACGTAAATTCTATGAAGGTGGTTTCCAGCCAAATATGACAAGAAGAGAAGCAGCTCTAATTTTGGGTATCAGGTGAACATGATACATCGCTAATTTCTTTTTTTATCCATTGATTGCTTATGGCTGTTTTAAGTCAAGTCATAGCTGTTCCAACGCGATTCCTTCTATCCAATTGGAAGAATAAATTTGTTGATCAATTTCATTGATAATTGGTGAAAGATGAATATTGAAGTGAAATATCTAAGTAAATACGGATCATATTGATGCTTTCAAATTGTTTTAAGATTCAGTGCACTAGATATAGAAAGTGTTGCTGTTTGAGAGTATTTGTCTCGTGCTTTATTTTGCCAGCATTTGTCTTGTGTTGTTGCAACATATAGTGAATCGATAACTTTACGAATTTCATTGTGCACAGTAACATTTTTCACCATGTCTTGCTGGTTTCAAAATAAAGATAGGGAAGAAATAGGGAGGTGTGCTATTTGTAACCGGTGTTGCTGAAAGTTAATGCATGGCATCTTTTATATTTGCCCATGGAACTTATTTGTCTTTTGAGGCTGTTGTTGAGTAATAGTATCTTTTTTTTTAATGACAAAAATGTTGTGACATCTAGTGATACAATGGACAGCTATTTGATGGTCAAGGCTCATAAGCAACAGCTCACAAATTTTAAGCATTGCTCATCGAGAATATTTGCCTTTGTTGTAGTAGTATATGTGTGAATCAATAATATTATGATGCTTAAAATATCAAACGATGTTATTCACCGTGTCTTACTGCTTTTATATTTCAAAATAATGATGGGGGAAGTCCTAAGGCGAGTTATTTGTAACCATGACCGTTGAAGGTTATTATTCTGTAACATCCTTTTTTTGGGGATAAAAACTTGTGACTTCTAGTGATACAACGAACTGATATTTATTGGTCAAAGCGCATAAGAGGCAGCTTTTAAATTTTGAGCTTTGCTTTGATCTTTAAGCACCCATCTATTACTGTGATACTGACCTCGTACCTGAGGCCTTTAACTTTCTCCCGTGCTTCTGTACATCCGTTGAAAGAGGACACTGCGTTGGCCCCATGAGATGAATGCCATGTGCATCTACTTTGAAAAAAATCAAGGACTTATGGGGATTGCTTGAAGCAGATAAGTGAAAGTTCAACCCTTCTACGTGAGCATTGGCCAAAACCATATTGTAAAGTCTGAGTTGTCATTCTAATTGATTACCCTATGTTCACTCTGTTCCGGTCCCCGCACACGCATTCACTCACAGACACTCACAGTTTTAACTAAAGGAGATAATAAAGGCCTGTTTTTGTTACGAAGTCATCTAAAGTTAAGATGTTCTGTGGATGAATAGGGAAAATGCTACTCCAGACAAGGTGAAGGAAGCACATAGAAAGGTAATGGTGGCAAACCATCCCGATGCAGGTGGCAGTCATTATCTTGCATCCAAAATAAATGAGGCGAAGGACGTAATGCTCGGAAAGACAAAGGGTGGTGGATCCGCATTTTAACAAGCTTGGAACTGTCTTTTTGCTCGGACATGTCACTACTGAGGTACATACTACACAGTCTCGTAATTTTCAACGTTGCACATAGTAAACTTTCATCTGTACCTCGACGGATTGAACTATGCATTGTAATAGTCAGCAATTTTTCAGGTCACCAGATGTCCAATGTCAGTTGATATGAACACATGATACATATCAATATCAGCAATTATGAAGATTAAATCCTATGCAATACGCTTGGTATTGCCATCTTCGTCTCACCAAAACTTGCCCGCAGGCTAGAGAAAAGGCTGACTTTGCTATTCACATCAAGGAGAATGGTGCGAAGTGTTAGTGTACGTGTCAAAAATTAAATAGTTGGAGGAAAGAAAAATAGAAAAAAAAAAAAAAAAAAGAAAGGAGAAATAATGCATATGCCTTAACAAATGTATCTATTAATACCTCTTAAATTCAGAAATCGTTTCTTCAATCTCATACCCTTATCAGTTATCACTAGCAACATTTTTCATTCATTGAGATGCTCATTTATACATGCCTCCATTGGCTTGAGCAAGATTTTTGGTAGGGAATTGTGCGATTGGTAAATATAAGTTCAAGAAGGGGAGTCTACTTTCTAAAGAGTTGGTAGATGACCTAAAATTTGGGCTGTATTTAAGAATTTTGAATTTGCTTGTGACTTTTCTCCCTTAAAAAAAAAAAAATCAATGATTGGCTTGTTGTAATTTGTAAATGAGAAAAAAAAAACAATTGGATTTATGTCTTCTGTTAGCCAATAATATATGTATAAAATATTTATATATCTGTATGTAGGAAATAAAATCTACACAAGTCTGTCCTATTTAATATTTATAACTCAAGACATACGCTTACAATTTCGTATCGTCATTATATTAAAAGAATTGGAATTTTCAATGTAAATTGTATAGTTACATGCCATCTCCAATACAATCTGTTACGAAGACCTACGATACCCCCTGCTTAACTTCTTCCTCTGATGTTAATGGGTTGAAGATTTTGGTTTTGTGATCCTCATTTTTTCAGGGGTGTTATACTGATTTATTGATGCAATTGTCCAAAAAAAAAGAAGAAGGAATTCAGCAGAAAATTGAAGAGAAAATATTTATTTTCCGCTTCTTGTATAATTTTCTAATACAAGTCAACTTTTTTATTCACAAAAAAATTAATGATTTAATTCATGAACTCAAGGATAAATTTTAAGTAATTGCAAATATAACACACTAGAACTTCTGATACAATTTTGTTCCTTCAACGCAGAATTGCGTAAACGGATAAGCACTGGACTTCTGTAAGTTTTTATTTAAAGATCAATGAGACTATTAATAATCGTATCGACAATTACAATAAGGTTAAGTGGCCCTAAAACATGACCCTGCACACATGGCCCTTACGTCAGCGATTATCCATTCAGCAACCATGGCATTATCCAAATAAATAATCATTGTTTATTTTATTTTATTTTTTCCTCATTTTTGGCTGGAGAGACAACCGATGTTTTATTCTTTTTGTTTCGTTTTTTTTTTTTTAAATAATTGGAATTTTTTTAAGAAAAATAAATGATAGGCTTGAGGCTTCTCTTCTCTGCTTTCTCGTATTCTTCTTCTTCCTCTGCCACCCATATCGGGCTCAACACAAGTTCTGTCCGAAGTCACCGCTTAACACACCTTATCGAAGGGGAATCTTATCCGTATACTTTCTTTGTATTTGTTTCACTCTCTTCATCTATCTCTCTCTCCCTCCCTCTATCATTCAGCTCTGTATCGTTCACTTCATCTTAGATATCCATCATTTCTGAACCGAAATGGGGTTAATGTTGAGTACCTCAATTCTGCAATTTTCATCGGTTACCTGTTCTGATGATTAGAATATTTCGTGTTTTGTGCTTGATAATTTTCTTCTTCTTCTTTTTTCACCGGATCTTTTTTTTGGCAATCCCGTACTAGTTCCTTCGACTGGGCGTTTGTCGATTTGAAATTTGTTCTGTTTTAGAACGCAGTGGAAATAGAATTGCGTTGAACGCTTTGAATATCGAAGTTTTAGTCAGTAATGGTGTCCGCGAACGATCCAGTTGAGTCTTTCTTCAATTCGATTCAGGTTGTGAAAGAAGTGCTTTCACCACTCGAAATAGGTATTCGGAAAGCAGCGAAAGATCTTGAGCATTGCTGGCCAGCCTGGCCAGAGCCTAAGAAAAAGGAAAATGGTGTTCAGTTGATCGCCGAAGTGAGTGAAGCGGGCAAGTTTCAGATCTGTAGTGTGAAGAAGAAGAAGAATGGTCAGTGTGTGGTTATTGATGAGAAAAAGAAAGGGTTATCAATAAAGATTCCTTTGAAGGCTTTCTTAGATATGTTTTCTCAGAATTCAGGAAGTGGGAATAAAGCTGCTGGGTTGGGTAGAGGGTCAAAAGAGGAGGAGTTTGCCAAGGAAGATGGGCCTTGCACAAATTGCTTCCGGTTTGCAGTTTCTTGGTCTGTGCTGTTTAATGGGTTTTTGCAGACTTTGCCAGTGCCTTTTAAATCAAGCAAGAAGCGGTTCCAGAAAACGGGTGGTGAAGATAAATTGTGCTCGTGCATGGAGCCTAGCGTTTCATATGAATTGAAGCAAACAGAATCTAAGGGCCACTTCGTTAGAAAATTTAGGGACAAGGGTAGGAGACAGGAGGGAATTCATATTTCACTTGAATGCCTCTTAGGTTTTATTTTTGATCAATTAGCTCAGAGTACTCTTCAGAATCTTGATGGGGGAGCACTAGAAAACGATCGGGACTGCGATAAGACTTTTCTTCCCCCACCTATTCCATCTTACTCTCATCATTTGAAAGCACTGACTAATATTTTGGAAGGGCAAAAAATATTTGTAAATGGTTTCTTGGGAAATTTAAGATTTGCGAAAGTGGGTCTGCCATCAGGTGTTATAGTAAACCCTTCAGCTAAAGAGGGTGATGGTAGTGCCACTGTTGAAGGCAGGGAAGAAACTGGTGGAAGTCCTGCGCAGAAGGTTGCCACGAACTTACTCAGTATTCCTCTATCAAATGTGGAGCGTTTAAAGTCCAGCATTTCCACTATTTCTTTGTCAGAATTGATCGAGCTTCTACCCCAGATTGGGCGTACATCTAAAGATCATCCAGACAAGAAGAAACTATTTTCTGTCCAGGATTTCTTTAGATACACAGAGGCTGAAGGTATTTTTTTTTAAATATAGTGGAAGATGTTGCATGTTGCTTGCATTGCATGCATCGCTAATAAACTCTTTTTTACAACTAAAATACCTGGTATGACGAAATTTAGAATCCCTTTGTTTATGTAAATATTTAATATTCTGAATGCATGCGCGGGCAGTGTATGTTTTGTCGAGGACAGCAATGGGAGGGAATGGAACTATATAAAAGGTCCAATACTTGGATGTGACTACTTTCCGCTATGGTCAGTATCAGTAATGAGGACAATATGGTTTCTCGACGGAATTTCTGCTTCTCCTAGATTATGCAAACTGCATTTATGCAAGCTACGAATGACTACTGATAGGGATTTATATTGTTTTTATTATGTTACTACTTAAGCCCAACTCGTGCATGTTCATTCGGTCGGTAATGGGATGAGTTGTATTTCCAACATTAATGTACAGCTGATGTATGAAGTGGTAAAGGAACTCACAAGTTCTGCGATCCACACAAGGATCAAGATATGACACCTAGCGTATAATTTATGTTCCAAGAGCTATATTGTGGCTGTATTGTAACTAAAGGTGCCATAATTGGAGGAAATGATAATATAGGTTAGCCTGGGGAACCTGACTATGGAGGGCTTGAATTCCTCGGAAATAATTTTTTTTTTTTTTTTTAAAAAAGATTTGGGTTTGTTAAGGGAACAAAAGGTAATTGGTTTGAATAAACTGGTTGTTGGAGCTTTCTGTCAGACTGAAAGATCTAGATCTGCTTCTACTGATTTAATTAGGCCATTCAAGGAGTGAGAGGTTAGAGGAGTGTAAAATACAAACTCTATAAACCTCTGTTTGGACTTTGATGTTGACTTATATGTTGTGTAAGGAGCGACAGGAAATGGAAGATTGCTTCTGAGTTGATGGAAGCAACTCTTAGAAGGGGACTGGGCTGTGTTAGGATGCTTTAATTGGAGAAAGATTACCATCCTTAAGGCAGTGATAAATCATCCTAAATTGGCGTAGTTGTAATCATGGAAGACTTAGTCTAATTCTAAGGTTGCACGCACCATGTCATCATCAGGCATCACACCTATGTGCCATTTCATGTAATATAATTTGTGTTTATGATTGACTAATTGGAGTCTTGGATTAAGGTCTCAATTTAAGATGCCATCGACACTAAAGTAAAAATATGTGATGAAGAATGTTAGACTAGTAATGACAAATTTAGTTATCTAGAGACAAATACCTGTGAGAACTAGTAATGTACAAGTGTTCTAGAATTTCAAGTACACTTATGATTATCTGCATATCTATTATCGGGTCCTTTTGGGGGTTTCTAGTGTATGTGTTTCTGTTGCATCATTTGACATGCTATGTCTCCTTGTCCATGCTTCAAAGACTAAATAATGATATTGTAGTGCATAAAGAGATAACTTATATACAGTGCTTATATTTCAATGTTAATTTTCTCCAGCATGGGTAAATTGTTTGCCTAGAAGTGATTTTGCTAATGAAGGTTACTTTACTATCAGTTAGCATGCGGGATTCAACTTTTTAAACATATGCTGATTCCATATATTTACGGGGAATTTATTTCTTACAGGGAGAAGATTCTTTGAGGAGCTGGATACAGATGGCGATGGCCAAGTGACTTTGGAAGATCTAGAAATTGCAATGAGAAAAAGAAAATTGCCGCGTAGATATGCTCATGAATTTATGCGCCGTACCAGAAGTCACATATTTTCTAAGTCTCTTGGGTGGAAACAGTTTTTATCTTTGATGGAACAGAAAGAGCCAACAATTCTTCGTGCATATACTTCTTTGTGTCTAAGCAAGTCTGGAACACTTAAGAAGAGTGAGATATTGGAGTCATTAAAGAGTGCAGGACTTCCTGCTAATGAAGACAATGCAGTTGCTATGATGCGATTTCTTAATGCTGACACTGAAGGATCTATTTCTTATGGACACTTTCGCAATTTTATGCTTTTGCTTCCCTCTGATCGTCTTCAAGAGGATCCTAGGTAAAATAAGCTTGATAATATGAAGTACTGACGATGTTGGATGCATCTTACATTATATTATATGTAAACTTGTTCATCCAGAGTATAAGTGTTTGGTTGTTGTCAAATGATGTAGTTAATGTTCTTCTCCATCCGTAGCATATAAATAAACCAACAGTTCTGGACAGTTCCTCAGGAGATTAGAGAATATTTGAATGTCCGTTCCTGCTGTGGTTAGTGCTCTAATCTGCTTATTGCAACCAACAATAAATATTTTTCCTCTGTTATCAGGAGTATTTGGTTTGAAGCTGCAACTTTAGTTGCTGTTCCACCAC